GACCTCCCAATCCTCTGCGCCGACAGCTGTCAGCGCAAAGAACAATCCCCACGGATCATACCGCTGCTTGAGGCTGTAGAGGCGGTCGTAGTTGGCGCCGTAGAATGCCTCTTGCTGGTTCGGCTCGAGCAGGTCTCCCTCGCTCATGTAGGCGCCCGAGTCGGGGGCAATGTCGCGCAGGACGTCCATCCAGTTCGTCACGGACAGAGACTTGTCCTTCACTGTTTCCCAGCTGGCGTCGGACGTCCATTGTGTACCGACGATGACGTGTGCGAGGGCATCGCGCCAGGCGGGGAGGACGGAAGTGTCCGTGGGAGGAGTGACGGCTTTGCCGGTGCCGGTGATGTGGAAGCCAGCGACAAAGAGGCCCTAGAGATGGTTAGTTTGAATCAAGTCAACGGGCGACAAGGCTTGCCTTTTCGATGGCGTCCTTGTGGGCAAGGAAGGTCCGGCTACGCAGACTGTCGTCCTGGAAGACGCTTCGGGGCATCAGACGGGAGGCCGTCTTGACGAGGGCAGTTCCAACGTATTCCTGCGGAAAGGCAACCGTCCACACGTCGTGGCTGCATAGAGTTAGTTATAATTTGCTTATGGGGTATGGCTGCTCACAAGTTGTCGGCGTGGTTGTACCACGGAGTGTAGGTGATGTTCTGAGCGTCCAGCACATCGAACCATGGAGCGAGCAGAGCCTTTGTCTCGTCGACGGTCATGTTGGGGGCGACAAACGACTCCATGCGGAAATAGTAATCGGTCGACCCGGCATAATCGGTACCGAGCTGAAAGGCAGATGCGCCGAGGTAGTAGTAGCCGTAGGTACCGGCATCGACAAAGCGCTCAAAGTGGTCCAAATACGACTCGACACCCTTCCAAAAGGCGTCGGTGCTAGGGGCGTCTTTGATGGTGAAGTTAAAAGTCACCGTCGTCGTTGGCAGCTTGGGCAATGCCTTGACTGTCAACGAAGTGACGACGCCAATGGTGCTGCCGCCGCCACCCCGAAGCATCCAGAAGACATCCGAGTTCTGCGTGGATGTGGCCGTAATGAAACGGCCATCGGCAAGGACCACTATCAATCAAGTTAGCCAGTGCCACTGGGCTGACGACGAGATAAACCTACCCTCCATCGCAAGAACCTGGTCCGCGGCCATGCCGTAAAGACTGCTCAACGGCGAATGACCACCGCCGGCGATATAACCACCTCCCATACCAACGGTGATGGCTTCACCACCAATAACAGTAACGCCGTTGGCCTTGGCATATTCATAGGCCTCCCATACCTGCACACCGGAGCCGAACTTGATGGCCGGGCCGACGTAGCCACTGGCAGCCTTGTACTGGGGGTAGAAGGCCTTGTCCTTCAGCCAGTGCGTCCAGATGGACAGAGCACCCTTACCGGCAGCCTTGCCGTTGAAATCATGGCCGGTGTTCTTGACGACTAAGCGCAGGTTCAGATTTCTGGCGAAGTTGACAGCCAGCTGGATCTGAGCTACGTTTGTGACATTAACAACGTAGGCGGGGTACCCGCCAATCTCACAGGTGTCAGTGTAGTTGAAGCCAGGGGGCATGCATGTGCGGCCTTCGTACAGGGGCAGCATGATTGAAGCAGGATCGGCCATGCTGTTCCACGTCAGTTGCGGCCCAGGAAATATGTGACGCACTTACTGCAGATCAGAAGTGATCCATTGTGACGAGATAGCGGCACATTTTGCCGCATCATACTCAGGCCAGTCGGGGTAACAGTATGCTGCCAGTGGTGTCGTCTTCACCAGACGTTTGCCAAGAAGAAGATCGAAGATGCCCCAGATCAGGTTGTTTGGCCAGGCCCCATCTCCAGGCATAACCTTGCACCGGTGCAAGCTTCTCTTCGCTACGGAAGCGGAGTTGGTGCTGGCAAAGGTGAACATGCTGGAGACGGTCTCATTCTGAATGGTGTCGGCCACATTGGCGAGAACCGCATCGGTCAGCTGGATAGTTTCGGATGGGAACAGAGTTGCCGATGGTGAGACAGTAGCTGCGGCAGGTGCCAGCGATGCCGACACACTGGCCTCTTGCGCTGCGACCGCAGAGCCCACGGCCAAGATAGCCAGGACACTGTTCATCATCTCTATGTCCGAGTACAAGGGTCAAGGAGCGAGGTAGCCTGTCCATGTCAACACCGTGCATGCCATGTGGCGATATTTAAACCCTCCGGGAACGGAAATTAGGAGACAATGCATGTCGAATCTTGTATCTCGAACCGAGCCGACTGTTGCGACTCGAGCAAAGCAAGTGGATCCTGGTCTCGGAGACTTCGATGGATTCTGACTCGGTGCGCAGAGCTAAATACGTAGCGGCACGACGATGGCCTTTTAGCGCATGAACTACTGCATAAAAATATATGTTCCCCACGTACTAGTCTAGGGACTGACTCGCTGAGCATGGGATGGGAGTCCTCCGTACGCACATTCGCCATTACTCTACTCCGTATAATATCGTGAACCCGGTCAGGCCACGTTTTGTGGCACTGGCTAACAAGGACTATTGATGTGGCTGCAAGGCAAGACTACAGCTCCTGCTTCCTGTGGGCGCTGATATCGGTTGGTCTTTTAATGCGGGGAGCGAAGGAAGAAGAAAAAGACAAAATAACGAGAAAGAGACCCAAACGTTAAATAGAGACTGAGGACTGTCCAGTGGATTGAGTTGTCATGCTGTTACTGTGTACCAGCAGTTGGCCGTCGCACATGTGCCCAGAAAGAGTACCAACAATAGCAATGAGAACAAGACTAAAGCTAAATCGAGATTCAAGACAAGCTGGGACGGAGGTTGTCGTCCGAAGCCCTTAGTCTATACTAGTCTATGTCGCCAATTGGAATTGTGCCAGGAGAGTTGCCGACTTGGCTCACTTACACCGAAGCAGAGGATTCTCGACTCAGTCGGCGAGGGACTAAGACTGCACTAGCATGCGGGACAATCTATTGACTTTTCAACCGAGGAGTCTGTGTTCTAAGTGGCGAATGAGTGACTCCTTTTGAGGAGACCAACCGAGTCTAAGATGGGTTCGCGCCGAGCCTATGTGGAGGAAATGTCTTGGAGTGTCGTCCGGCAATTTGTCGGCGTCTCACCAGGACAGTCTGGGCTGAGTCCTGGGTCCTTCAGCATGAATTATTTGACTAACTATCAAGACCCGGAATGCTTGCCAATTCATATGATGACCGAAGGAGGCACAGCGACACGAGGTCTCTAGCTGGCTAACAGCATGGCTCTACAGAAATAGACTTTTTCATCGAGTCAGCACCTCGCACACTAGCAGGAGAAACACATGTATCCTTCAGCAGAAGGTTCAAAAGAAGGCAGAAGGTTGCATTGCATGAAATCGGCAAGGAAAGGCAGCGTGAGCCTTGGAAACCCTAATGTAGAACTCTCCTCCTCCTTTCGTCTGTGGCAATTTCCGCTGCTCTCATAAGGATCTGACGGCCGCTTTTTAATCTATTTCTTCTTTCTTTCTTTCTTGTCATCTCCTTCCGATGGATTGCGAATCTCCTCGATGACTGCCCCAAGCGATACCCTGCAGCCCCAGGCGATTGCGCTGATCTTTGCATTTCCCGCGGCGGCAACGATCGTGGTGGGCCTTCGAATTTACAGTCGATTATTGACACGGACGTTTGCAGCCGGTATGTTCCCCGATCGTACTATATCGGGTCGAGGCATGCTGATCACGACTTATAGATGACTGGGTGATTTGTTTTGCAGAGGTGGGTGACATACTTTGTGAAAGGTTCTCGCGCTGACCTGAATTAAGGTCCTCTATTGGGCTGAGACGATTACTTCTTACTATGGTACGTCAATACACGAGCCTTTTCCCGCATTGTCTAACATATTCCAGTCATCAAGTACATGTATATCGGCTACCATGCCTGGGACGTTCCCAAGGACTTTCCCGCCGCGCTGGGAGCAAAGTTTTCCTACGCTGTATGTTGCCCTCTGTTCCTGTTCACTGCATGCTAACTGTCTTTTAGACATTACTCCTGTATAATCCCATCCTGGCCCTCATCAAAACCTCCATCCTCCTCTTCCTGTTACGCTTGACCGGTCAGAAAGTGAACGTACGCAGAGCGATATACGCCCTGTTGATCCTCAACGGGATCGCCATGGTGGCCACCTTCCTCATCACAATGTTGCATTGCGTCCCCATTGCGTCGAACTGGGATCCTTTGTCCTATCCAAATGCGAAATGTATCAATTTCGCCAACTTCGTCACCGGAACCGCGTGTGTCGCCATCTTCACCGACGTGCTGGTGCTGATCCTTCCAACCTGGATTGTGTATAACCTGAAGATCGCGCGGGGTCAAAAACTGATGTTGATCGGGATTCTGTCCTTGGGTTTCATGTGAGTCATAGTTTCGTCTACTGAAGGATCAGTGACTGATGTGAGAAGATCTGTTATCTCTGGAATTGTACGGGTCATCCTCCTCGACAACTACGACCGCCACATCCCGGCAGACTACACCTACTCGGTCCTCTTCTGTATTTCCACCATCGAAGTGGGGCTGTCCATTATTGCGGCCTGCGCACCGGCTCTAAAACCGCTCTTTGTCATGATTATTCCCAAAGTATTCAGCAGCAGCAAGAGCCGGACTGGTCCGCAGTACAACAGATACGGAGCCAGCCGCAGCGGGCCAATGGGGTATGATCTCGACCACATTTCGCGGGGATCCAGGCGAGGACAAGGAGAGACGATGATCGAGGCAGGGGACGATGAAAGGGGAGACAGGCTTTCTAAGAATGGGATTGTGCTGACCACTGAGATGGAGGTGCACTGGCACGAGTCTCGATGTGGGGGGCCGATAACTCAGGGCAGTAGTACGGAAAGTCTAGTGCAGCCGAGAAAATCATGAAGAGGGCCATGTATTGCTAATGCACAGTTGAAGTACTTTCGGGTCTATATACATAGCAACCCGAATGATTCTCTTCTCGGCATAGTCTCCAATTCACTCATTGCCAGTGGACCGCATACGGACCGGAGCTCAAATTCTGAAGCAGTCGGTCGAGTAGGAGCTCACATCGTTGTCGTGACCAATGTCGTCAAAGTTGACGAACTGGTTACGGCAGAACGAATATCCAAAGTCGCCTTTGCAGCCGGGGCTGTCGTACACTTTAAGACAGCAGCGGGTGGTGCCCTCCGGATTGTCCGAGTAGTACCTCATCGAGGAAATCTTCTGGTTGAGAGGGTCGACGTTGGGATGGCACCTGAACCCGGGATTTCCAGGTCCAGCATTGGTGATAGATGGACCCTCTTCCTCCTTCAGCTGGTAAAAGTACACGCGCCAGGCGGACACGCTGGGGACGACGGCCAGGGCGAAAGTGGCGGCGAGAGCTGCGATCTTCATTGTGCCTGTGCAATCGTCAGTTCAGATCGTACTGTATGAGGGAGTTGCATACTTTATGAAGGTGATATGCTTGCTTCTGTCAGAGTACTGTTGATGCGGTTGAACTGGCTTGTGGATGTCAACTTTGAGAGGGGCAGGAGAGGCCTTATATAGATTTCTTCTCGCAGATACTTTCGCTGGAGCTCAACACAAACTGTACTGTTTCGATGCTGTGTTCATATCGAATGTGATGCCAAGTAGTCGATGACAGATTCCAGATGTTAATCAAATTGGCCAAGACCTTAGGATCTCGTATAGAGAGGAACGCCCTTCCCAGATGTAGATGTACCGCGATAGAAGGACCATAGCTGCTGGGTGCTCGTATTCGGATGATAAATTGTCTGCATCTCCTCCAGTCTTCTCTCGAGCTTTCCGCACGAGTATAATCTTCACCACTGTATGGATCAAGCCTATATCTATATTGACTCTCCTCTTTCGTATTTCTCCTGCCTTCATGAAGGCCTGCAAGTCTGGGTCTCTTGTTACAATGGCCGGGAATGCCGGGAATCAGCATATGGATTTGTCATCTGGTCTTGCTTTTCTGGCAAAAGACGAAAGCAGAACGAGGATTCTCGGATGATCAACCTCCCTTGCAATGAATCCTATGTCAGCCGGTTACTTGTCGCCATGACCGGTTGGCACTCCTCGTTCTGTCATCCCTGAGAGACAAGCATCTTTCTGCGCTTATCTCATAATTAGAACAAGAGATAGCCTACTCCGTCGAGTAGCTCTAGATAGCGATTCAATCCAGAATACAGCATCATGAGGGCCATGCGCCAACTGAGCTCTGCCTCTATCCCCTACCACAGCCGTGGTCGTCTCGAATGGGCTCAAGGAAGATTTCTGGCGGCAGCGAGACCTCCTTCTCAGGTCTGAGGAAGCTCGCTCCATCGGCAAGCGGGACAACTGCGGATTGTAAAATTGCGGCATCTCACTGCTACCTTGATAGCATTCATGGCACAGGTTTCCGAAAACGCGAAACGGTGGGCGATATTTCCGAGCTGATGCTGCCGACGATGTGTAGATAGAAGATCAATGGGCCACGCAAAGTCGCCGTTAAATCTCATCCAGACAATTCGGACCAAACGGCTTACTTGCGCATAGACTTCGAGGTCACTCTGGATCCTCTTAGTAGCCATCACCCTACAATGTTCCCCTCGCCATATGCCCATTTTTATCCTGATAATGCGCCCGGAAATTGGTCTCGCTGGCTACAGGGACATGCCAAGAAGGAGGTCACCAGACAGACATGATTGCGACTCGGCTTACTCATTGTCTATGGTAGCAGTTCAGACGGTAAGCATCCAATGATCATCCGGACTGTCTTCAGAAACACGCGGTGGAGGACGCGGGTTCCGCGGGGCCCGAAGACGACGGCCAAGACCAGGCTCTTCGTGTTGTTGCTGCCAATTAATGCTCCAAATCAGAGTCATAGCTTGGGTGCCAAGTAATCTGGATCTTTCTGGGTTCTTGATGTGATCCTCTTCTGCTTTAATAAGTGTTCCGCGGGAGGCCGAGATGGATGGGTCGCCTACTGGCATTACATTTAAATATTCTCAGGAACAAGCCTTTCCTACCTTCCTGGTGCCGGAACAGTACGAACATTATCCTTGCACCTGTTGATTGACCCTATGGCCTTGAACCCGACGGATAACCGTTGGTCAGCGGGGGAAGATACCCCTTCCGAGACCCAGCTCCCCGATGGCGAGGAACGCCTGGATGCTGCTCCAGATGAAAAGATCACCCCTGAGGATATCGACCGCCGGTTGACAAACCTGGTCCGCAAGTTAAGCGCCCAATCCCAACAGTCCCATCAGTCATATCTCTTTAGCCGCGGTGAAAATAGCAGTCTCAACCCCCAGAGCCCTTCGTTTGATGCTAGAAAATGGGCTCGAGCCTTTTACAACGCACGTTACCTGCAGGATGATGGCCGTCCACCTCGGGTGGCAGGTGTCGCATTCAAAAATCTGAATGTATTTGGGTATGGCAGCCCCGTGGACTATCAGATGAGCGTTGGTAATGCGCTCCTGAAGGCGCCGACGATGATCCGACAGGCCCTGGGAGGCGGGAAACAGCGGGTCGATATTCTGCACGACGTCGAGGGCCTGGTGCTTCCCGGGGAACAGCTGTGTGTCCTCGGTCCCCCTGGCTCCGGTTGCTCAACGTTTCTCCGAACGATTGCGGGCGAGACCCACGGTCTGAATGTCGATGCGGCGTCATATATCAACTACCACGGCATCAGCCCCAAACAGATGTCGACGGCTTTTCGCGGCGAGGCAATCTACACGGCCGAGGTCGATGCTCACTTCCCCATGCTCTCAGTAGGAGACACATTGTATTTTGCCGCCCTTGCTCGTGCCCCGCAGGTGATTCCCGGGGGTCTAACCCGACAGGAATACGCCAAACATCTGCGCGATGTGATCATGGCCATGTTTGGCATTGGCCATACAATCAACACGCGTGTTGGGAATGACTTTGTGCGTGGTGTCAGCGGAGGTGAGAGGAAGCGAGTCACCATTGCCGAGGCCGCCCTGGGATACTCGCCACTACAATGCTGGGATAATAGTACCCGAGGTCTGGACAGTGCGAATGCTGTGGAATTCTGTCGGACATTGCGCACGCAGAGCGATGTCTTTGGAATTACCTCATGTGTGGCCATCTACCAAGCCCCTCAAGCGGCATACGATGTGAGTGAATACGACTGTAACCCGCTAGATACTCGCTGATGAACAGATAGCTGTTTGACAAAGTCCTTGTTCTATATGAAGGACGGCAGATATACTTTGGTGCTGCGCAGGCGGCCAAAGCCTACTTCGAGCAGCTTGGATTCCAGTGCCCTGAATCTCAGACCACGGCCGATTTCCTCACCTCGATGTGCAGTCCCGTTGAACGCATTGTTAAACCCGGGTTTGAACACATGGCTCCTCGGACACCAGAAGAGTTTGCGCAGCGTTGGAAGGATAGTCCGCAACGGCAGTCCCTATTGCACGCAATCGAGAAGTACAGCACCGAGCATCCGCTCGATGGACCCGATCTTCACCAGTTCGCCCTCTCACGTAGGGAAGAAAAGTCACCCCATCAGCGAGAGAAATCGCCATACACCTTGTCCTACTGGGGACAGGTTAAACTGTGTTTGTTGAGGGAATGGCAACGTCTCAAGAACGACCCCAGCGTCACATTGGCCATGCTCATCGGAAACTTTTTCGAGGCTCTGATCATTGCCAGCATCTTCTACAATCTCGCTGGAGACACATCCTCCTTCTTTTACCGCGGCGCCCTTCTCTTTATGATGGTCTTGCTCAACGCCTTTGCCAGTATTCTCGAGATTCTGACATTGTACGAGAAACGCACCATTGTGGAGAAACAGAGCCGCTACGCATACTACCATCCAAGTGCCGAGGCTGTATCCTCCTTCATCATGAGTCTTCCATATAAGTTCATGAATTCTTTCTTGGTCAATCTCACGCTATACTTCATGTCGAACCTGCGACGCGAGCCGGGCCCATTTTTCTTCTTCCTGTTGATTTCCATGTCAATGATGCTGGCCATGTCGATGTTCTTCCGCTGGTTTGCATCCTTGACCAAGACAATCGACCAGGCCCTTGCCCCTTCGTCTATCATTCTGCTGGCCCTTGTTTTATATACTGGCTTTACCATTCCTGTCTCGTACATGCGCGGCTGGGCTTCATGGATTCGATGGCTCAACCCCGTATCATATGGCTTTGAAGCCGTCATGATTAATGAGTTCCACGGACGTGAGTTCCCGTGTTCATCTTTTGTACCAGCCGGACCAGGCTACGAGGATGTATCTAGTACGCACCGAGTATGCTCGACTGTCGGAGCGACTGCTGGCTCAGATGTCGTTTCTGGCGACGCATTTGTCCGCTCCTCGTACGGCTACGTCAACAGCCACCGCTGGCGCAACTTTGGGATCATCATCGCGATGACCGTCTTCCTTGCTGTCTGCCATTTTGTGACGACTGAGCTTGTTGCTTCGAAGCGGTCAAAAGGCGAGGTACTTGTATTCCGACGTGGTAGCGCTCATATCGCGCGTGCAAAGCAGGGGCAGCGCGATGAGGAACAGCCCTCTGCCTCTGCCGTGCCGAATGAAAAGTACAGTGAGGCATCGACCCCTGTTGCGGGTGTTGAGAAGCAGACATCTATATTTCACTGGGAAGATGTGTGTTATGATGTGAAGATCAAAAGCGAAACTAGGCGGATTCTCGACCACGTCGATGGGTGGATCAAACCTGGTACACTGACTGCTTTGATGGTAAGTCCCTTTTCTACCCTCAGTGACATTCGAGAGACGCTAAGACTACTAATCCAGGGCGTCTCCGGGGCTGGCAAGACAACCTTACTTGATGTACTGGCCAGCCGAACGACTGTCGGAGTCGTCACTGGCGAAATGCTGGTCGACGGACGGCAGCGGGACAGTTCATTCCAGCGAAAAACGGGCTATGTGCAGCAGCAGGACCTCCACCTGGCTACTACGACCGTCCGTGAAGCACTCGAGTTCAGCGCTCTCCTGCGGCAACCACCGCAATACAGCCGGACGGAGAAGCTGGAGTACGTGGAAAAGGTGATTGATCTGCTGCACATGCGAGACTACGCCGACGCGATTGTCGGCGTCCCCGGAGAAGGCTTGAACGTTGAACAAAGAAAACGGCTCACTATCGGAGTGGAGCTGGCTGCCCGTCCCAAGCTGCTCTTGTTCCTGGATGAACCCACGTCTGGCTTAGACAGCCAGACGTCCTGGTCGATTTGTAACCTCATGGAGACGTTGACTCGAAACGGACAGGCGATCTTATGTACTATCCATCAACCGTCGGCCATGTTGTTCCAGCGCTTCGACCGACTTCTGCTCCTCGCCAAGGGAGGAAAGACAGTTTATTTTGGGGAGATCGGATCGGGATCCAGCACCTTGATGGATTACTTTGTTCGCAATGGTGGACCCCCCTGTCCGAAAGGCGCCAACCCGGCGGAGCATATGCTCGAGGTGATTGGCGCCGCGCCAGGAGCCCATACGGATATCGACTGGCCAGCTGTATGGCGCACTAGTCCGGAGTATCAGCAAGTTCGCCAGGAATTGTCTCGATTGAGACAGCTGGCTGGTCAACCTTCGTCTGTGCATTCGGATGACCCATCCAGCTACTCCGAGTTTGCGGCCTCGTACCCTGCCCAGCTGGGCCAGGTTGGTCGTCGCGTGTTCCAGCAGTACTGGCGGACGCCTTCGTATATCTATTCCAAGGCGATTCTGACTGTTGGCTCGGTAAGTACTGCCTGGTCAAACCAATTGGTATGTGTCTAACAGTTACGCATTTGCAGTCCCTCTTTATTGGTTTCTCCTTCTTCAAAGGCGACAACACCGCCCAGGGACTACAGAACCAGATGTTTGGTGTCTTTGTTTTCCTCTTTGTCGTCATCCAACTCATCTTCCAAGTCATTCCAACCTTTGTCACGCAACGAACTCTTTACGAGTCCCGCGAGCGCCAGTCCAAGACCTACTCCTGGCAAGCCTTCGTTCTCTCCAATATTGCCGTGGAGTTTGCATGGAACACGGTAAGTCATTGCATATATGCCCAGACACAGGCACGGACTAATCATGCCTCAGATCGCGGCGGTGCTCTGTTTCCTGGCGTGGTTCTACCCCGTCGGCCTCTACCGCAACGCAGAGTACACCGACACGGTCCATTCCCGGAGCACCCTCGCCTTCCTCATCATCTGGGCCACCTTCCTCTTCGCCAGCTCCTTCGCACACCTCCTCATCGCCGGCGTCGAGAGCGCCGAACTCGCCTCCGCGCTCGCAAACATCATGGGCATCATGATGTACGCCTTCTGCGGCATTCTCGCCGGCCCGCATGCGCTCCCTGGTTTCTGGATCTTCATGTATCGGGTCAACCCGTTCACGTACCTGGTTTCGGGCCTGTTGTCGACGAGTCTGGGTGATGCGCCGATGCACTGCGCTGCTAATGAGTTCCTGGCTTTTTCGCCTCCTGCGAATAGGACTTGTGGCGAGTACATGGAGGAATACATGGCCTGGGCTGGGGGGTATTTGTTGGATTCAGCGGCGCGAGGTGATGATCAATGCCGGTATTGTCGTGTTGATAACACGAGCCATTACTTGAGGAATTTTAGCATCGACTTCGCGACTCGGTGGAGGGATTTTGGGCTGCTCTGGGCGTATGTCGCCTTTAATACTTTTGGGGCGGTCTTCCTTTACTGGCTTTGTCGGGTCCCGAAAGGGAAGAAAAGACTGTAATTCGCAGTCGTGGATAGAATATAGATTAGATGACACGGAATAGAGGGCTTCATCTGGGTTTGGGCAGCTGCTCAAGTAGTAGCTGGACGCGTCTCTACAGGATGGTAGTTCCTGCAAAAGTGTCCACTATTTACAAAGATGTATCTATGTATCTTAGCCTCGGCAATAGCGTGTTCTGAGGCTATCCACACCCAAGATCCGGTATTTGTGCCGACAGAGGTGTCGCTAGAAGAGACCTAAATATTTCTGTTGCTCTTGGTTATGGACTCACTTACCTTTGGTAACGCCACTGTACAAGACATGAACTTCCACACTTTGTCTGTATAGGTAAAGATGTTAACTGACAGGACAATAATATTATTATTGCACTAAAGACTCCTTACGTATGACATGTCTGCCTAGAGCCAAGGCAATGGCAGCCTTGTCAACAGGGATAGATAAATAGACCATCTTCAACCTCCCCAAACTATCTCATCTGGACTGTCACGAATCTCATTCCTGTTCTATCTATTTGACCATCTCAACCATGCCTCAATCACCGTCTATGTCGCTCCTCACCACGGTCATGGGAATCATCCCCATCAGTTTTGGTATCAACGCCATCCTGCGTCCCGAACATGCCTTGACCTTCTTCGAGTTTGAACCCCCCGTTGCTCCCCGCGACCGAAGCCTTGTCGACAACCTGATGATTGTATACGGCGTGCGGGATATCTTCATGGGCCTCGCCATCTACGCTGCCGGGTTTCTCGGCACTCGCAAGTCCCTTGGTTGGACGCTGATCGCTACCAGTGCGGTCGCCATCGCTGACGGCGCTGTGTGTTGGAGCCAGGGCCATGGACAATGGAATCACTGGGGATATGCTCCTGTCCTTGCCATTATCGGGGGCCTTCTGGTTCGGTCTGACGGCAAAGATAATACGGACAAAACCAAATGAATGTCAGCAGTTCTATGTCAACTACAGTGAGGTATGCTCAGGAGTTTATCCTGGCTGTCAGAGGATTAGAACATGCAATCCATGACTTTTCGTATTCGTTCTCTATCACAATGCATATAATCCTGAATTATCGACGCGCCACGCAACACAAAATTCCCGACTTGCCCAGGAAGTAGACCGACCCAATAAATCGGAAGATAGACAGTCCAGCTGTCGCCCATAGAATCACTTGGAAATAATACTGCGTCCGCGTTGTGGATGTGTTCTGTCTCAAGGTCAGTAACTATCTCAAGCGCATCCAAGGGATCCCAGGCTTACCGTCAGACACATCTTCCTGATGCCGTCGCTCGTAATGAGCAGGGAGACCAGCAAATTACTCAGGATCCAGAGCAGCACCAGGTTGGTCCGAAAGTTGCGGTAGGAATCATCCATGCTGATAGTCGAGTCTTCGTTTGGTTCCTGATACGGGGCCAGCGCCCGCTTGACCGTTGCCTCGAACTGGCTGTCGATATCTGCCTGCGGTTTATCGACCTCCTCGATGAAGTTGCTCTTGCTGCCGTCGGCCTTCTTCGTCTGCGCCGAGGGCAGAGCGTCCGCCTTATCGGAACCCTTCGTACCCCACGACACATCGTGCCAGTTGCAGAACGCATACACCATGAGAATATTGATCGACGTGGTCATGCCCAGGAAGTACGCCCAGGAACTGGTCAGGATGTGCCAAGGGTCCATGTAAAGAATGCTGGCGACGATGTAGATGCCGTAAGTGGACACCAAGGCGATCAGGACAATCCCTCCACCACTGGAGCTGAAGAAGGAGGAGAGGAAGTGGCCCACGCCTTGGTCGAAATCAAAGTCCATCATGCCACCCATGAAGGCATTAGCGACCAGGTAGAAGGACAGGATCAGCACGTAAAACTGCACCAGAGAAAACCAGAGGAAAGACATTGTGTAGGCGAATTTGGTTCTGTTCGTGTCAGCAGTTTCTTATCGGACACGGGATTCCGGCAACTTACCCTTTGGGTCGGTTTCCCAGAGCCAGCACAAATTGGAGCATCAGCACCAAAAGGTAACCATATTTGACGAAAAAGTTGACAATGGGAGAGGCATCGTTGCCGAATGGCCACGCCTTGTACTTGTTATGCGAGCTGGGCGTCCCCACGAGGTCCATGATGACCGAGCTGGTCAGCCAGTAGGATGCCAACGAGAACCAGGTCATGATGAGCTGGCAGCAGTTGTAGATCATCTGAATATGCAAGAAGAACATTCGAACCAAGCTATGACCACTCTTATAGATGCGTCCGAAGTGCATGATGGCATACAGACTCGCAGCAAAGGAGCCATTGAGCCATCGTCGCCGCTGGCTGATGAATTCCGGCGCCGCCTCGGGGACATCTGTCTCTCCTTTGGATGCTTTGACATACGTGAGATGCCATTTGAACCCAGCTTTGGCCACCAGTTCAAAGCATAGGATGCGATCCTCCGCAAGAAACATGTTCTTTTTAAAGATATTCATCCCCTCAATGCCCTTCTTTCCCAGCCGCTTGGACAAAGTATGATCTCCATGGAAGTATTGCTCCAACGGTCGGCCCATGATCGCACGGTAGCGATATGCCGAGAAAGCACCTGGTAGCACACTCACGTAGCCAAAGGCGCTTTCCAGCGGTTTGTCGAGGATATTGGAAATTTTGTACTCGAAATTCTGTGCCGCGACTAGAGGGTTCAGCACATTGCGCCATCCCCTGCCCAACATCGCATGGATTTCGCCACACGCTCCGCCCAGTGTTTTGTCATTATAGAATGCTTCCCATAGGGCAAGCAAGGATTTGCTCCCGGGCTTCGTGCCAGCATCGAGCAGGATGCATATTTCCGGATTCAGGATTCGACTAAAGGCGTTGAACAGCCACCGGTGGGAATTGATTTTCTTGCTGTTCTTCTGCTTGAGGCAGAATATCATCTGGACCGGGGGTAGATTGCGAGGATCATTAGGCTGTGGTCTGACCAGCTGCTGCGTCGCGGTGACGGATAACTGTGTTGTATATTCGAACTGACTGTTTATCAGTGATGTTCTCCGACGCAAAGCGCTGCCTTGCATAACTCACAATATGTGCGACTGTCTCGCGCCCGTCCACATCCTTTTTCATCACCCCATCCTGATACACACCTATCGTGGCGAGGACATCCAGAGTATTCTTATCGCAAGGCTCAATTCCATCAAACACAAGACACACCACAATCTTCTGCCATGCCGGTCCTCCCTTGTTCCAGAATTCTGACTTCTTCAGGTTCACAATGTCCCGGACGTTCTGCATCACACCATGCAGGGTGCGGGCGGTCAGCACTTTATCCTCGTTATAATAAGTGATCGCGATGAGCAATTCCGTATGACGGTTATACATGGCGGGACGTAGGTTGTAGCCGTTGCGCAGGGTGAATTCATCCGGGTCGCAGGTGGCGGCCGTATCTAGACCTCCTTAGTCGACTGTGTGCGATCGCATTTCGGCATAAGTACTTACACCGCATATGTGTGAACTCTTCATGAAACGCTTCCTCCGCATCCCGATACTCCGCCTGGATCGCGTTCTGAATCGCACTCGGAACCGGGTAGTCAACGCTGAGCACCGAACCCTGGACGAGGTTGATCTTCCTTGTTCCATATCGCCGTAGCGCACTCGGTTTCACCCCTTGTCGTCTTTGCCAGGCATCCATCTCGATTCCACTGTATTCCGACATCCGTGCGCTGTGTACATCGGCGGCTTCGGACTCCGGGTACGGGGGAGCAAATGCGGTTATCCCGGGATCATGCAATGTGTATCGCCGCAGGGAGTCGGTCGAGATGTTGGGATCATCGTACGACCAGCCATTAGCGCTGGCTAAACTGCGTCGAAGGAGGGTCTGTTGTTGATCTTCCGCGTCATCGCGACCGTAGGTAGGCTGCTCACAGCAAGGTCAACTTTTCCGCCGTTCTTCATTATACTGCTCCGGTCAAACACTCACTGTGGGAGATGAAGAGGGCTGCGAGTAGAAGCTGCTTCGGCTTTCCTGCGGTGAATGCGCCGAATAGGGCGTTGGAGTGCCCATTTTGGCAGTGGGCGCTTGAGATTGGACAGGTTACACGTCGGTATAATCGGGGAAAAAGAATTATTTGCAGGACTGAAGAATTGTACCTGACTAAGAAGCCAAGGGTTGCAATTATATGCCGCTCGTGGAACTGATCTTACCACGGATCAGAGACAGATGGTTCTATTGTTAGATTGAGATCTCAAAGAGGTCTGACTGGAGGGTTTGTCAACAAGACACTGCCTTTGTCCAGACAACATCGCAGACAAACATTTTCATTATGATGGGCCTGTTGAACCGTCCCACCTCTGTCATCGTCCAATCTTGATTGACGACAGTTATAATTAGGACTTTGATTAGTGAGAACGGCGCAGCCTGCTTGGATGATGACAGAGTTGGCACATTTTGATCCTTGGTTCTGGGTCCAGTGGAGCAAGGACATCCAGCAACTTCTCACACCTCGCTATTGTTTCCGAGATGACTTCGCTGCTTGTCGACATCAACGCTTAGGGTCCTTTCCACTCGCGGGGCCATGTTCGTATGCCTGCCCCTGGCACCCCTGATCACAATCATTCCTAGATCTTGAAGTTCGAGCTGATCTCGAGCCAGCGATCATCAACTAGGCCGGGGAACGATCGTCAGCCAAGAACCGACCAGGGATTTTGTATTGATTGTCGCCGCCAGTGGCTGACGACACCCGTTGTAAGGCTTGGTCCGTGCCATACGGTCGCAATTTCGTAAGGTCAACTCCGTAAATATGTTTGATAGGACGCTTTGCGGCCCACGCCACGGTTGCTGCTGGTCGAGTTCTGGACGACGCGTGGTGCTGGAAGGACAATTTGGGACATTGCCAACGATGATTTGTGGCTTGTTCTCGGCTGTGCGGCGGTCACTCCACTAAGAGTGGGACACTGGCCATGCAGATCAGCAAATGAGCAATCTCAACCGGGATCAGGTCACACAATCCATTCCATCGAATTGAAGATGGACATCAGAGAATGTCCTGACAATGAAGACAGATATCCGAGGCATGACTCCAGGCGTTGTATCTATATGTTGGATGAGATCGAGAGAAAACACGTCGAAAAAACAATGAGAAAGTGGCTGATTGGGTGTGGTCACGTGACTCATGGTCGGCAACCTCGAAGCCGTAATAGAGATGAGGCCTTGCAGCAAAAGGGTCTTCATCTAAGTCAATTGCTTTGAATTGTAAGATATGTTGCCGTCAAGCCTTACTGGGCCATATTTCTCATATATATTCCGTTATGCGGTTTTGTGCTGCGTTGTGGCCACTGTTACTCCGTGGTGATATATAAAGATCAACAGGTGGTATTTCTCACCCAGCATGCTCCATCCACTTATACTAAACAGCATCAACCAGTATTGGAAGAAGAGATTGTTAACAAAGGCAGTGATGATACCAATATCCATACAAGTTCTTTACATAATTTTAACACCAAAAAAGGTGGACACTAGACGAATGAGGGACTAGCAAGTCAGCATCGAGCATGACATATGCTGGTTGGAACAACCCCATATTACAACAAGGGAACAATTAGATGCTGTCCTCTAGAAGATAAGTTGCAGCAGATCGGTAATAGAATCACACAAAATATACCGTCGAGGAGTGTAAACTATATCGCGCATAGACAGTAAAGTCTACTACTGTAGTGGGGGCGCAACCGGAGAAATCTATCTGGTTGGTGGTTAAAGCCTCAAGCATGGACGACTCGATCAATAACCTCGCATCTTCCCACCAGAAAGAAAACAAGATTGCAGATAAGGTCACATCGCAGCTTAACGATTGGTTGGGAATTGTTTTGAACATCACGAAGAGGGATTTATTGGCGTCTCAGGAAGCTCGAACTGATATCTCAGCCACCACCGACGCAGCTGTCGGCTAAAGAGCTATGGCCATCATTAATCGCGCAGCTTTCTATGCC